TTTTTTTTTTTTTTTTTTTTGACATTTCTAAATCAACCCCAAATCAGGCAGGCAGGTTACCATAGCAACTGTTGTGTGAAGGAGAGAAGGGCCAGGCTGTCTGGGACCATTTCACTCAGGCAGCGCCAACACCCCCCAGGTGGCTTGAATTAAGCTCCAGGGCTATGAGGTTGTCAGGACAATTGTTTAAAATTGTCATGGATGTTAGGCAGGGATATTGCCTGAGGAGGAGAGAGCTCCACAATGCCAGGATGAGAATTGCAACATCTGATTATTGAAATAATAGGCCTTTTCTTATTTTAAAAATGTTTCTTAAAAATCAGCATAGAATGCAGTATGTTTGCCAGACAAAGAAGACATTTATTACAGATCTTCCTAGACAGAAACCTTCTAATTCATTTTCTTATTAAATTCACAACAGACTTGTTTAGGAAACCTAACTGTGGTTAACATATATAAAAAATAAAATGTATTGTCTTGGGACTAGCCGGTGGTATGGTGGTTAAGGTGCTGGATTCCCACATGGCCGAGAGTGGTTTGAGTCCCAGACTTGGTGGCTTAAAAACCATACCTACTGTGAGGGCGGAGTGCATGTGGTGCACGCCCAAAATCCTGAGAGGAGAATGAAGGACAAGAGATTGTGGTGCGGCCATCCCCCCAGGGGGTGATTTCTCACTTTCCCTCTGGGGAGTGTATGTACCCTATGGCAAAAAACAACAAAAAAGGTTAAGATGGTAATTTTTTTTTTTTTAGGTTTCTGCCATAGGGCATGCACATTCACTGAAGAAATTCAGAGTGAGACAGAGAGAGAGAGAGAAAGTGAGAAATCATACCCCAGGGGATATGTCCATGCCACAGTCCCTTCTCCTTCATTCTCCACTCAGGATTTTGGGTATGCACATACATATCTGGTGTGATTTTCAAGCTGCTGGGTACAGGATTTGAACTGCAGTCAGCCATGTGTGAGTCCAGCACCTTAACCACCACACCACCTGCTAGCCCCAATGTTATTTTAATATCTTCCAGGTCATTTGTTTTTGTTTTATTGACTAAAAGTCGTGTCTCTACCTCTCTGTCCACTAGGGGTAAATTCCTTCCTCGTGTACATGGCTTTCAAAGATCGCTTCCAGCTAACGGATTCCCAGGTAAGAAAGTCAGCTTTTCTGACTAGGCTCGCTGACATTTGGTGCATTCTGGCCTCTGCCATTGTCTGGGAAGAGCAGTCCTGGATGTGTGTTCATCCCTTAGCTTCATGGGAAATGGCTGGTGGATTCAGTTATTGAAAGGATTGAGCCCTTGGGGAGAGTGTGAAACCAGCCCCGCTCCCGGGTGCTCCTGTAGGCTCTGGAGCTGAGCCTCTGAACTGCCAGCCGTGGCACTGCCTGATGAGAGGTATGCTCAGAGCCTCCTTGGCACACCTGGGTGCAGAGCTGGGTGTCATCCGGAACTTCTCACTCCCAACCCCCATCTTCTAGGTTGTGTTGCCACAGTTAATTAATGAGGGCTCTTCCCCTATCAGATAAGGTCAGAAACATTGCCCTGGGGTGTGTTGAGGCCTGAACCTCAACGCTGCCCAGGCTCAGGAGAAGCAGCAAGAGTTACCATTTCTCATCTCAGGCGCATTGCCGTCAGGGAGGTGGCTGTCCCTATCCCTCATCCCCACTCTCCTCTCTCTCTCAGATATATGAAGTACTGAGTGTCATCCGAGATATTGGTGCCATAGCCCAAGTCCATGCGGAAAATGGGGACATCATTGCAGAGGTATGGGGCTTTATTCATCGTTTTTTCATCACCAGGGGGGCAAGTGACAGGCTCGAGAAAGTGAGACGACTTCTGTAGCTTAGCACCGTGGTAGGAAAGCAGAGGAGCCTGGCGTGCCTGTGTGATGGCTCTGCTCGCAGTCTCGCCAAGGACATGAGCACCGGTAACACACATGCTTCTTGGGGTGTTTGGCAGGACGTCCAGACACCTGTTTCTCTTCCACCCAGAGGCCAGTTTTCTCTGTGTTGTGATGCAGCTGCCCTGGGTGGGGTATAGCCATGCCGTGGTCACACACAGGCATTGAATGCTGTGGCCAAGGGCTGACAGCGCATAGCTTTTCACATCCCAGAGGGACAGCCGAGCAGCTGGGGAGGCTATGATTGACCCGTCCTGTGGAGGCAGGACGGGGAGCAGGGCAGTGAACTCTTCCTGGGGTGTCGGGAGGAGGGCCGGGCAGCCACGAGTGCCATCTTTACATCTTGCCTGAAGGTCTCTGACCGTCAGAGTCCTTGGAAGCACAGTTCTCCCTGATGGCCTTTCTTTAAACACCGCAGGAGCAGCAGAGGATTCTGGACCTGGGCATCACTGGCCCCGAGGGACACGTGCTGAGCCGGCCTGAGGAGGTGAACACTCGCGAATGGGATGCATGAATTGGTGTCCTTTGGGTGATGAGCAGAGCCAAGGGGAACTCACTTCCTGCCTCTGGGAGACACAGCTTCTCTGATACAGAGGAGCCCTGGGTATTGCCTATGTAGTCTGCAGAGGCAAAGTGAAGGGTTAGACTGAGCCTGGAGGCGAGAGCGTTGTGGATCATTTAACCTGAAGATTCCTCTATCTGTGTCTCATCTCCAGGCTCGTTCTTGGGTAGCTATAACCGTTCTTTATTAACATGTAGAATGTTAATAAAGAACCTAGATTTTAGTGGTTTGCGCTACGGCTTCCGAAAGCTTGCTAGTCACCCAAACACGGGGCATGGAGACCTAAGCGTCTTTCCAGAGGGCCAGCCAGTGGTGCAGGGGTTAAGGTGGCTGGATCCCACATGGCCAACAACACGATCTAGACTGGTTGCTTGAAAAACATACTGGCGTGTGTGCGCATGCCTGAGCTCCCAAGAGAAGAATGGAGGAGAACGGATTGTGCCACGGCCATCCCCCTGGGGAGTGGTTTCTCACTTTCCCTCCCTTTCTCTATCTCTCCAATGACACATGTGCCCTATAACCCACTAAAAATAAAACAAAAAAAAACAAAAACAACAATGAAAAAACTTCTACATATTGACAAAAGCATGAGAGGAATTGTGTTTTTTTTTTTTTTTTTTTCTTGCAAAGCCCGCATGGGGTATTATGCAATCAGCAGAGTTTGTGGACAGAATCCTTGACAGTTGTGGAGAGGTCACCCAGAGCAGGGGTCCTCGCTGGCACAAAGGTTGAGAAGCACCGTCTTGGATGATGCCTTAGTTAGAAAGGGTGCTTACATGTCACGTAAGGAGGAGTCTGGTTTTCTAAAGTACCATTTGCGGTCTTTAAATTCTTCTCCAGAAGTGACTGCTTAATGAAAGACTCGGGTCAGCCTCTAGAAGACCTCACCAAGAAATAGGTGGATGGCTTTGAGGGGACTCCTGGAAAAGCAAAGACTTTCCCCTTTATGGGAAAACGTGGCAGAGAGGGGGCAGAGCCAGGGACACGGGGACAAATAATCAGGGAGCTGGGTGGAAGCGTGAAATGAGGACTTGCTTTCCAGACACGGATGGAGGCAGATACTTGACGAAAGGACAGTGACGGGGACCACAGTCGCCAAGTCACAGAACTTTGGGGTTGGAATGGTCTCCCTAATGCCTAGAATTGTTGATGTGAGAGCCAGAATGGAAGGAAGTCTGCACCCCTAATAAGAAAGTAGGTTCAAGAAGGTTTGAAGTCGAAGCCATCTGCAGGCTGCCTGGGGTGGGGTGAGGAGGCAGGAGTATCTGCAGCCTTTAGGGGAAAGGATAAGGCTGGAAAAGGAGAGAGAAGGCAAGAAGCAGAAAGAGAGGAGGTGGAGGTGACTCCGGAAGGTTTCACACCCTGAAGGTTGACACTTTGTTCTGACCTCATTACGTGCTCGTGTGTGGACACACCACCCAAAGCATCCTCAACACCTGAGGCCTCAGGACATTCTCCTCTCCCCACATGCAAGGGCAGACGCCATGACTTTTTTTTCTTAATCTATCTGCTTGCTTGCTGGCTGTCTGTAGGGTGTACATGCTTACTGGAGAGGGACAGCGAGAGGGAGAAAGTGAAAAAATCACTCCCAGGAGGATGGCCCCGTTGCCATCCCTTCTCCATTGTCCTCTTGGGATTTTGGACACACATGCATGTGTGCCTGGCATGGTTTTTCAAGCTGCTGGGTCTGGGCCTTGACACTCACAGTAGGCCATGTGGGATCTAGCTCCTTAACCACCACACCACTCGTTGGCCTCGACATTTTAGATATTGCAGGGTCCCTCCAGGCCATGGGATATAGATTTTTTTATAACTGTCCCACCATCCTATGTCTACTATAAAGCTGAAGGGTGTCCAAGAACCGGCATGAGGGTGAAGGAGGGCAGAGGTGATGTTTTTAGGTCCCTGCCTTAACTGGACGGTGATTCCAGGCAGCTTGTAGGACTGGGAGGGGGAGCTAAAACTAGCTGACACTGAAAGTACCTGGGAGACTCATTTTGTGCACATGCGTGTGCACACAGACACCGTGCAGAGGCACACATATGTTCATACGTGCCACAGATGGGTACACTGTCATGTATACACAGTGCATTCAGGTACACACACACACACACACACACACACACACACACACACTTGCACACGTCCCATTCCATAGATGCCTCAAGGGTCCTTTCTGTGGCTTCCTTTCTCCTTGCAGTCTGGCTTCTGTAGATGCTTGAACCAGATTCCCCAGGATCATCCCTTTGGGGTGGTTTAAGCCACTATCTCCCTCAACTCCAACCTTTGGAGTTGTTCCTACATTCAGTCTTGAGGCAGTTTGGGGATGAGGCCTTTGAGCTGCAAGGAATCCAGGAGAAGCAGAGGGACGACAGCCCACGTGGTGCTTGAAGCTCCATTCAAAGCTAGCATTTCCGAGCACCTCACCGAAGCTTTGCAACCACCTGTGCAGGAGGCCCCACTCCAGGGGGCACCATGCAGGTAGCCTGTGTGGCTGCGTCCAGGAGACACATTTGTATTCCAGCTCCCGTGCTGGGGCTGCCAGGGGTATACTGCGGTGGGGCCTTCCTTATTGCCATCTCCCATGTGAAGAAACTGCAGTGGTGTGATGCTAAGTGACTGCTTCATACTAGGAAGCTAGACATGCAGTGTCCTGCCTGTACCCACAACCCCACCCCAGCATGTACACACACACACACACACACACACACACATGCGTGCACAGGCATATGCCCATGCTCAGCTTCTAAACAGAGGGCCCATGTGACCAGTGGTAACACTTGAGAATGAGCTTCATTAGTTTGTGACTGGGGAGCCAGTCCCCAGATCCACGTGTCCAAGTGACTGAGAAGATGTTCTGAGAAAAGCAAATGTCACCATGCTGGTTACATGGGGCTCCCTCTGAGACCCACTCGTACCTCAAGTGTAGAGCCTCCCAAGAGGCAGGCTTCCCTCCCTCCCCTGCTGTGTGCAGAGCAGGGTACGGGAATGGGAAGCGAACCTGCCTTGGGTGTACTGAAAAGACCAGCGTACCAGAGTGGAGTTGTCTGGTTGCTGTTTTGACCAGAGAAATTAAAACCATTTTCACATGCTTGGGCACAGGAGGCTTCTCTCCTGGGATCCCCAGCAGCAAATTATGAGGGCCCCTCCGGGGGTCAGCGGACCTGGGAATGCAGTAATATGGCATCTCCTTTCAGCTGATGTCAAGGCACCTTCTTTCGACCAGGGACCATGCTTCACGCATCCCTAGGTAATTTCACCCAATAACAGCCCTGTGAGGTGAGGAGGGTGACACAGGGGTTGGGGACTCTCACAGCTTGAATGACGGCCAGCTGAGGTTAGAAATCCTGTCCCTAAGCATCCGCCAGCGCCTTCTCCCAGAGGTGCTGTGGGTAGTTTTCGTTTTGTCCAGGGGCATCTGTTGTGTGTTAAACAGTATGCGGGTGATAAAGAGCATAAAATATGGAACAATTCAGAGTGAACTTGAGCATTACTGCGCAGCGAGGGAGCCAGCGCCAATACACAGGGCCAGTAGCTAACGACATGCAGACATGCAGACGTTCAGTTCTCTGCGGCTGTGCCCTCCCCACCGCCCACACTGTGCTGGTTCCTCTGCACTTGAACTTCCTGAGATATGCTCCTGCCACTCTATACGCTTTTCCCCGACTCATTGTGAGAGATCCCCTGGGAGGACTTCCCCTGGCTCTTAGCTGAGAAGACTGAAAAGAAGACTGTAGAGAATATGAAATCTAGAAGTTGCTTCTCCCTGACTCGGCGGGTGGTGACTGAACGGGTGTCCCTGGACAAACCATCGCCTTCTCTGGGCCTTGGGTTGCTTCGTCCTTAAAATCAGTAGACCCCATGCCTACGTGTGTGTGTGTGCCCCGACTCCTGGTGGTTGGGGAAGGAGGAATGGAGGAAGAAGAATTGCAGCCTGTCCAAGCCCCAGTGGAGTGTGTGTGGGGTGCTTTTGCTCTTTTTTCTCCTTTCTCTCTGGTGAGCGCACATACCCCTCTGGCAATTAAAAAAAATTTAAAGCAGAAGGCAAGACTACATGAATTCCAAAATTCCTAAGAGCCCAATAACAAGGTGAAGAGATTGCTTTGTTTTTGTTTTTACTAGAGCGCACATACACTTGTCAGAGACAGGCAGACAGGGAGGGAGAGAAGAAAACACTCATCCCTGCCCCCCACGGAAGATGGTTACATCACAATCCTTTCTCCTTCACCTCTCCCTCTTTTCAGGATTTTGGGGACACACGCACACTCACACTCCCACACACACACAAGCCCAGAGTATATCATTTCAGGCTGCTGAGTTTGGGACTTGACTCACACCATCAGGATTCTGGCTGCCTTAACCACCAGGCCTTGCAGCTGGCCCAAGCAGAAGAAATTTTATCTTGAAGCAATTGTAGCATTTTTATAATATTTTAAAGTGATGTTATTTCAATCAGAGTTTGGAGTTGTGTAACAGCAGGTTGTGTTTTGTAGCAAAGGCACAGATGTATAAAGTCAGAAGGGTGACATGGAACGTGGAGACATGGGATTAGTGACCATTTCTTCCAGTGTGCTTGTATTTTAGGACAGTCTCAGTCCAGCTCCAGGCCAGACTGGGGCACGAACTCACCTCACGGAGGATGAGCAAATGCAGACAGGTCCTTGGTACCCCGATATTTCCCACCAAAGCCAGCCTTAATCAGTTAGTTCTCTGGCGTTACTGAGAGTACCTCTTTGCACACCCAGAAGTGTCCGTGTTGGGACAGTAAATTGGGTGGTCGCCGGTGTAACTGAGAAGCGCTCAGGGTTCACGTGGAGTCCTTTTCACACTTCACACCATGGACTGTGTCATAGCAGAGCTGTGGGACGCCCTGTTCCGTACTGCCTGGACCAGACGCTCTGCCGTTGTCTTCAGGCCCAGGAGAGGGAGGGCATATCCTTCTGCTCTCCCAGGAATGACAAACATTGGGGTGTCCAGTAAGCTTTTCCAAGAGCCATTTGCTTTGCTTCTGGATTTCTAGACATCCCTCTTCACATAGTTGCGAAGGCAGTAGGCTTCATGCCACTAAATTAGATTACCAGTTAATGCAATTGCAGAATTTTAAGCTCTAGGCCAAGCTCTTGTAGACACAGGGTTAGCTAAGTTAATTCGCTCGGCAGCTCAGTTATTTCTTGGGCAAACTAACAGCTCTTTGCCTCGCTTTAATTACTATTACCATAAATGCAGTCATTTATTTGTTCAGTAAACATTTTTGAGTACCTTCTCTGAGCTAGGCACTCCACTGGCGACATGGGTGAGGCATGAAGGATGCAAAATAATGAGGAAGGCTCCACCCCTCTCCTCAATGAGCCTGAGCTTCAGATTTTGAGAGGACTGAGAGAGAGCTAGGTTTTTTTTTTTTTCTTTTTTCTTAATGTTAGAAAGCATATAAACGAGCAGAGAGGGAAGGAGAGAGGAAGGGGAGGACTCTCAAGATCCCCTTTCCCAGCCCTTCAACTCTTCAAGATCTTGGGCGACTGCACGTGTGCCTGGCTGTTTTCAGGCACACCCAGGATCTGAATCTGTGGCCACCCATATGGCTTCCAGCCTTGCAGGACACTTGTATTCTGGCTGTGCCACTGTGGCTGGACCCCAGTGACCCCACTGACTTTCTTTTTCTTTTTTTTCTTTTGAGAGTTTTTTTGCTCTAGGGTGCATGCACTTGCCAGGAAGACAGAGAGAGACAGACAAAAAGCAAGAAATCACCCCCCAGGGGGGAATGGCCATGCCTCAATCCCTCTTCCTGCATTCTCCTCTCAGGATCTTGGGCATGCACGCACATGTGCCCGGTGTGAGTTTAAGCCACTGGGTCCAGGATTCCAACCGCAGTTGACTACATGGGAGTCCAGTGACATAGCCATTGAGCTAACTGCTGGTCGTCCCCCCCCCCAGCAGTAACTTTCTAAGATTCACAGTATACAATTCTGGCTGTTCCTCTTGTGGCCCCATAAGCACGTGTTGCAATTTCTCTGAAAGATACAATTCGATCCAGAACACCTTACCTGGCGAGAGATTCAGCAGTCATCACTTGGATCTTTTTTATTTTTAGTTTGCTGTAGGGTGCATGCTCTTGCTGAAGAGAGACTAAGAAGAAGAGAAAGAGAGTGAGAAATCACTCCCTGGGGGTGGTCATGCTGCAGTCACTTCTTCACTCTTGTCTTAGGATTTTAAGCGCACACGCGCACGCACGCACACACACACACACAGAGTGTGTGTCTTGCAATCTGGGACTCAAATCCTCTCTAGAGGACCCAGCCACCTTAACTGCCACTCCACTGACTGGTCCCGCTTGGATCTTTGAAATAGCATTCCTTACAGTGTCCTGTTTATAGAACGAGATGATCTATTAGAGTTGTTGTCCCAGAAGGTTGTACCAGTCTGTGACAAGCTGGCCAACCATGCTCATATCTCACACACAGGGGACCATTGGTCACACAAATGCTGGCTGCTGCGTTCCTAGAACCCTGTGAGGCTACATTGTTTGGCGAGTGATGCTGGCTTTGTCCCTGAGCATCTGACAGGGGTTTCTTATTGGAGTCTGGACGCAACGCCATGGAAGCAGAATGAGCGTATGGAACTCAGAGGAGTCAGGGTTGGCCCTGGTGGTTCTCAAACATTGGCAAACATGAGAGTCACCAGGAGTTCTTGAAACCCGTATTGCTGGATCCCACTCCCAGATGGGATTAGTCTGTGGGTGGGGCCAGGGCTGAGAGTTGTATTCCCTGTAGACTCCGGGCTTTTGCTGATGTTGGGGACTTGCTTGGAAGAGGGCCAGGAAGGAATGATCCCATTTCTACCACCCAATATTGGGCAACATCGGGCACGTCCCATCACTCTGCAGCACCGCTTGGGCAGAACCTTGGGACCCAGCAGTCTGTCATTCATCCCAGCCACTCTGTGGGTGGAGGACAAAGGTAGGAGCTCGTGGGCGGGCTGAGTTCTCACGCCACGCTGCTTTCCTGTAGGTCGAGGCTGAAGCCGTGAATCGTTCGATCACCATCGCCAACCAGACCAACTGCCCCCTGTATGTCACCAAGGTCATGAGCAAGAGTGCGGCTGAAGTCATCGCGCAGGCCAGGAAAAAGGGTGAGCGCTGCCCACTGGGCTGTCCGACTGGGCAGGTTTGGAGGTGGTGAAGGGGGGGGGTCCTCCAGAGAGGCTCCTTTTCCAGACCCTCATGCCAAGTGGGCCACTTTGATCACGTTCCAGCATTAACCTAATTACAGCGAGCGAGGCAGGGAGCTCCAGTTTCCTCCCTTTGTTCCACTGCTGCAGCCTTGTTCGTGTCTATTTAAAGCCATGTGCACGGCCAAGGCTGGGTGGGCAGGCACGTTCCCTTCTGTCCCCCACCCCGTGCCCCCCACTGGAAAAGGTGGATTTCATTTGCTGCAGTCTAAATAAACTAGGTCCCTACATAGCTGATGTCAGATTCCACCTGCCACCGAGTCCTCTTGGGGAACGTTACATTGCCAGGTGCATCTCCTGTCTGTGGCTGGTAGGAATTTCTACTGGGGTACGTAAGGGCTAGGTTAGAGATGCTCGAGGGGTCTGGGGGGGTAAGTTTGCTCCAAACACTTTCATTTCCAGTATTCGAGTGCTTGAGTTATTCCCTGTTAAGACATTTTTTTCTTTGCATTATGGGCGGAAGCTGGTTCTTGGTCATTACTAGGAGGACCAGGGAGAAGGTTTCTGGAAACGAATTCACTCTATGCGTGCCCAGCACTTGCCCGCGAGGACGTGCCGTGGAGCTCCTTATGTTACGAATGCAGCAGAGCCCTGTTGTCACCTGCTGCGGACTCGTGAATTTGGATAATCACAGCGCCAGATTCAGGGTTGGGCATTAGCCAGCTTCATGAATGGAAGAGAAGCCTGAGAACACACACTTGACTTTGATGGTGGATCTCAGCTGGATCTGAAATGAATGTTATCAAAGGGCCTTTCTTCCCATCATGCCTTGCACCCCTTTGCTGTTCTTGTATCTCTGCCCCTCTGAATCTCTGTTTCTCTTCATTTTCTCTCCTAATTTTCTCTTTCCC